TGAACTCCTACCCACCTCCAGAAGGTATAGCTTGGAATCACCTATTGTGAAATACACATGAGCAATCACTCAAAGAAGAAAAGACAGTTATCTTTTCGTAACTGGTGTTCTTCGAGATGTGTTGCTCATGTCTATTCCACATCCCGCCTTCCTTCCCCTCTGGCGGAGTTGTCTGGCAAGAAGAAACTGAGGGTGGGGGGAGCACACAGCTCCCCTTATACCGCGCCAGGCAGGTGCCACTCCAGCGGTCGTGGGGGGCGCTCCCCCCCTACGGGTACTGCTGGGGAAAAACTTGCGGCACTGGTGCACGTGGCGAGCACACACACCTATTGTGGAATAGACATGAGCAACACATCTCGAAGAACACCAGTTATGAAAAGGTAACTGTCTTTTCCATACAAACTGGTGCCAGCTCTTTTCCTCCAAGAAAATAATGAGAGGGATCTCATCTAAATGGAAATGAACAACATTGCGGGAAAGGAGAAAAATAAAACCACAAATACTTTTCATGTTTCTTTTTTTGGGTTCAGTTTGTAACGTTGTCACCACTTTGTTTTTATTGCCTAACCTTAGATAAGAAATGCATGTCTACTGGTTGACTTGGGCTAAAAGACAGATTTGTTGTGCATTGTTGATTTCTATTTCTAGGTTTCTGATGCAGGGAAGGGAAAGAGAGAAAGAAGACACCAAGCTTTAAAACTGTCAGTTCTCCAGTTTAAGGAATTGGTTAAAATCACTTCAGAGTTTGTTTTTATGATTATGAAACTGCCTGCCTTAGTCAATAAGGACCTTTAACTGACTCTGAACAGGATGGGGTGCTGTTAATTGCCTGTGTCCATTCTAAATGTCTGGTCACTGTATGATAGCACTATCCCTTCTATAAGATCCTAGGAGTAGTTGCACTGCAGACAATTATCTTTTTTAACTTCAATTTTTCCTATGAATGTTTTATTATTTTGCCATCTTCCTGATTTATTTTTAAGTAACAATCAGTCCAATAAAGTTATGCTCCTAAACAGTATCATGCTCTGGAGTGAAAGCACAGGATAAATCAGAAAGCTGTAAACTCTTGGGCTCAATTGGCATTACACAATTTGCTGAGAAACTCCCAGATCAAAATATAATAGTTTCTCTTGAAATGTCATTGACTAACTAGCTTTTTCTTTCTTTTTACATTGTGTCACATTAATGCTAGACATTTGTACACGAATACAGTGATAGGCTGCTTGTTATCATTATGTTGTTATTTTATTATTTCGCTTTTTAATTTATCCACATTTGCTTGTCCGATAGTGTTTTGGAATCAACTTCACTGTCAGTATTGTGACTCTCAACAAACCAAATCAAAGCACCAGGAGCCTCTCATACTGGTGCAAACCAGCAATAAGTCCATTGACGTCCGTTGATGTCCATTGACATGGTGTATGTGAGAGGAGAATCAGGCCCACTTGGTGTACATAATGTTAATTTGTGTCAGAGATCAAAATGTTAAAAGATGACACACTGTCTTTAACTTAGGTTGTTGAGTTTTGGCAGTGTACCAGCATACATCGTAATGAGAACACACTGATCTAAGACCCCCCTACTATCTCAATGTACGGGTTCAGGGACAATAGTGGTAGTTTTTAGATTTTGTTTTTTGTTTTTGTTGGTTTCCAATTTTGGTATCTAAATACAACAGTGTTAGTGTGTTAAATTCCTTGGGTGTGATCCTGCCATCCTTACTTAGACAAAACTCTCATTGACTTGTGTGCAGGAGGATTTTTAAAGTTTAGTGTTTAAAAAAAAGACTAATAAAAACTAAATGATAAAAGAAAAATATTCTCCTAGAAGACTATGATGGCAGCAGTGTTAGCTCTTCTGCATTACTTCCTATCGTGTATATATGCACTAAAGGGGTTTTAAAATAGAGCATTATTTAAATAATAGCTATTTAAGAACTTTTGAAAAACAGAACTTTAAAATTATAGATTGTCATGTAAAATTCCTGAAATTAGGATTTTCAGGAAGAATGAAGGTGGGGTTTCACATAATGGCTCTTTAGCTGATTATGTGTATATACTTTTTAAAAGGTAGATCATCAAGAAACTGCAACTACTCCTTTGTGTAGATCCCTGAAATCAGACTAACATTTTGTAAATCCCAGCAAAGATGCTTTTCAATTTGAAACATGATAATTGAATTTTTCTGTCATGAATACCTGTGTAACAATTATTCTGACAGATTGGTAACTCTTAGATGTCTTTCACTTTCCATGGTACTTTCCATAATCTTTAGTTGCACAATTAACTTTTTGATTAACATATTCTGGTTCAAAATGAACTGTATCCATTTGTGCCCGGAAAATTATAGGTAACCACTCTCAAAACTACAAATCACATGCTAACTATATAAGATTTTAATATAATATATATAGCAACAACTAATTAGTAATTAAAGATCTAGACACCATTGTGATCACATTAATTGCATAACCAATTCAACCTTTAAATATAAACTGATTAGTGTGTTTTATTTGATCCTTTTTCCATTTCCCTTCTATCCACATCCCTTTTCATTTAGACTTAGGAAGCACTCTTAAATCCTTGTTCCTCCAAATAGATAGGCACAGTTACTCATGTGCAGCCCCACTGAATTCTACATAGGCAAAAGTGTCTGCCAGTGCATGTAGCAGTTTGAAGGTTGGGAACTTAATCAGTAAACGAGAGCAAGCGAGTTTGCCTTGAGCACATATAAACTCCCTTACCACTTAACTACCTCTTTCTGTTTCTCAGTAGCATCATGGACCATGATACCCTCCTCACGCTATTTAAAAACAATTGAACATTGAAAAAAATAATTATTTAAATTAGCATATTCAGAATTGCAGCTTGCCACAATCAATTATCTGAGCCCAAGCCAGGGGATCCAGAGAGGGCTACACCAAGAAGTTGGATATGTTAGTGCCCTGAAATCTTAATTTGCACTCAAAATGGAACAGCAAGAAGTGACAAAGTTCTAAGGCCTCATATTGTTATCAGCAGGCAAGGGGTACACTCCCAGGTCAGATCTCCCATAAATGTAGAAGGTGCAGTAATGCAGCAGGTCTGGAGATTGAAGAGCTAACTGGAACTTCAGATGAACTATATAAAATTAGTTTCCTGATAGTCACAGGTGAAGAGGACTCTGAAGGGATAGAACTCCATACTAGTCGTCAGAGGGCTGAAATGTAGCTGGAGTTGGATTCTTTCTCTTTACATAGAAACCTTCTTGTTTCTTTTGTTATAAACTGTCCATTCAGGAGCATGGTAAAGATTTTTTAAAATGGATGCCTATAATTGGACTCCTAAGTCCATATTTTGGCACCTAGATAAGAAGCCTGGTCTTTCAAAAAACTAAACATCCAGCAGCTCCCATTTAAAAACAAGGCAACTTACTTAGGTGCTAAAATATGGACCTAGGAAACCAACTTTGGGCACCCATTTTAAAAAATCTTTTCCCTAACTTCAGAGAAAAAAGAAGTTGCTGGTAGTAATAACTTTGCTGCTGCCGTTGTGGGACGATCTAGTCCATTCTACCAGTTTAATAGAATTTTTCAACCCAGTCTTAAATCTGGGACAGGCCTAATTTCTCTTAGAAGAGCCTTTTCCTCAACTTCTTGCACAAAATTACTCAGCTACACTGGGAGTGAGATTTCTCCATGTTGCCTAATCCAGTCCAATGGATTTTCCCTGGATACTTAAAACAAACCTCCCAAGACATATGTGTGGGAGCATGGAACTTCTTAATCAATGTTCCTAACTAATGAAATCTGATCTAAGTGAAGTAGATCAGTTTCTTTAATGACTTCCCTTCAGTTAAAACACACTGTGTTCCTGAAGAAATATTTTCAGGGGAAGGGATTACAGAATTATTTTGGAGCCTGTCATTAATTGTTGATTGATCATATTTTCCCCTTATTTTAAAGCCTGTAATGTTAACTTGACTTTTTCACAGCCTTTTTCACAGCCTCACAAGGTTTAAACTTTAAAGTATAGTTGACTAAATACCTAGTTCAATAACATTTTAGAGATATAGGGTGAAATCTTGGCCCCATTGAAGACAGTTGCAGAATTCCTATTGATTATAACAGACTTAGGATTTCACCCGTAATATATAGTTTGACTTTGACATGAATCCAATGGACAAGTCTGTTGTCATTCATTATTTAACATTTTATAAAAATACATCCATCATTTCACAAGATCAAATCTTCCATAGACTTTTAAGTGTTATCTCTGTAGGCTGATCCCTGTATTTTTATCCTTTACAGTTCCACCAACAGAAAAATGCTGTTTGGGTTGAAAATAACCAGGGGAAAGCGCAGGGTTGAAAATAATCAGGGAAAAGTTGCGGGTAGTAGCTTGATGCTGTGGTTTCATTTACGTTGCCACTTCTCTTTATTATGGGACAGCTGTTTGCCTCACCACAATTAAGGTGGAGCTGAGCTCCCAAGTTAAGAAGTGATGTTTCAATTCAAGGTTCACATTACTAAGATTTTGTGCAACTTACTTAGGAGTATCCAGATTTGTGGACACTGAAACAAAGCAAATGTACCTTTTTCCTTTGTGTTAGTATTTAGTGAATGTCAAAGCAAACTGTCTCTTTAATTGCAGAACTAAAATCCTACAACTAAAGAATTAACACCAATGTATGAGCTAGTGATTTATGGGGCATTTTAGTCAATGAATCAAATTGTCCTCACCTTATTAAGGCTGTAGTGTGATTTGTAGCCCGAGTAAGATGAGCAGGATTTGGCTCAATAACAGTTAAACATTGTTTTTGTAACCCAGATGAAAAGTAGTGCATGTCATGTATTTTAATGTGCCTCAACATACTGCTTATTGAATATAGTATGTACTTCCTTTTCATAAGGAAACTCATTGTAGGATAAGATACCCTAATTATCCTGATATATTTGGTTCTCAATTTCAAATGACATTTTCTTTTGCATAAAAACACAAACTTTTGTCTTATTTTAGCTTCAACCGGCATTCTTCCACCTCCATCAGCTACCAGTCAAAAAAGAGGTATAAAATATTATCTTTTGCAGCTACTACACATTAAAGTATTTAACACACCAATTTAATGCTACTAGTAGACTTCTAGTGAACTATTAACCTAAAAGTGATCTTATTAAAAATGTCTCCTCTCTTCTTTTCCTGATGACTAATAGTTTTCAAACGTAGTATTTAATTCATTGCCTCTCACATGTTATTGTCTGTTACAGATCTATTCGGTTAAGATTGGGCACTTTCAGTGCCTTTCAGAGATGTTATCATTTTACTGTTCCTTTAAACCATCTTCAGTCCTCAGGATATCTTTTGTCACCTGCTTAACCACTATTTACTTTCTGTGGCAGAAATTACAGCTGGTAAATCTTTCCAAAGCTGATTTAGCTTGACTAAAACCCTTAATGATGTAGCTCAATGCTTTATTTCTCTTACAGGAGTCTTTTCCTCTCCATTGCTAAATCTAATCTGCATCCCCACTTTGGTTGTCTTTTTAAACAGTTCCATAGTTAGTTATTGAACTCAGTGGTGCTGTTGTTTTTTGTTTGTTTGGAGACAATTTTTTTATTTACTACAATTTATTTTCTCTCTAGCAGACACCAGTTTCCTAGAAGTACAAGGAAATCTAGGGCAGTGTTTCAAAGTGCTATAGACATTGAGAAATACATGAGTAACAAACAAGCAGTCCTAATGCATTTTGCAAATTTAGAGTCCTAAAAAGGGTCTTTACCAATGAACCCAGGTGTTTGAGATTAGAACATACTCAGCAATGGCAGGTACATTAGAATTTCAGATATGGTTTTATAATAAATGTAATTTATAATCTCCTACACTACATAGCAAGTGTTGATCAGATTCTTTAAAAGTAAGTATGTTGCACTGATTTCTTGTGTAACTGTTTCCCCTTTGAATAATAAGGCTTAAAGTAATAAAAGATCTTCAGATAGTGTATATTTTAGCCGATCACCTTTTGAAATCATCACATAAGGCCAAATCTATCACTGAATTGTTTCCAGTAACCTCAGGATGCCACTGAAACAGAGTCCCGTAAGCTCTTACATTTCAAAACATTGGTGTCAGTATTGGATTAAATGGACACTGTTTATAAGGTATTTAGGTTGGGGTTTTTTAGTCATTCTGTCTGGAATACAAAAAAGAGCAATGATTCTGTGTGAGTTCTCACTGTTCTCCAACTGAAGTCCCGTGCAGCTGGCAGCTATTGGCATAAGACACTAAAGAGGGGACAGCAACAGGAAATAACTGTAAATATGAACAGTTTCATGTGTTGTTGAGAGCATCTTTCATAGTTACAAAATTGTGGCACAATACAGCAGAGTCCACAGTAAACACAAACTCATGAGAATAGTTTGTCAAAATCAACACCTCATATTCTCCATGGCACAATGGAACCAAATTCAGGCTACGTTTACACTTAAGTTACGTTGGCATAGCTAGGACACTTAGGAATGTGTAAACACAGTAATATCGGGGGGAAAAGTCTTATTTCTTATTTTATTCAGAGAACTGGTATAAGCTAGATGGGCAAAAGCTGTCTTTTTCCCCAGTATAAGTTGTGTCTCCAATAGAAGGGTTTGCGAGGTTAGTCTTTAAGGTGCCACCGGACTCCTTGTTGTTTTTGTGGATACAGACTAACACGGCTACCCCTGATACTATACCCTTTTATGTTTACTGTCAAAACCTTTCTAGTGTAGACAAGGCCTCAATGGTCAGAACCCCTAAATCCTGCAGCAGATGTGGATAAGAGTCTGAACTAGGCCTTGGGGGATCCTCCTCGTGTGAGGCTCAATGAAATAGTAGGATTGAAGGAAAAAATAGGAGTTTGTAAAGCAAGCATGGCGTTGAGGAAAGCAAGGGAACTGTTTAGCCCCAGCAAGGGTTTAATTACTCTTCCTGTATGGATTGCTGTGCTTGTTGCAGAGCGTAAACCTCAACATCTGCTGACTTCTGCCTCTTCTCCTCTTGCGCTTCTTCTTTTCCTTTGTTTGTTTTCCTTTTTACTCCTTCCCAAGGCAAGTTTTCTGTCTCATCTGATCCCTGACTCTCTGGTAGTGGTAGAATTGGGGCTTGAATAAACTGGAGAGTCTGCAGCCTATTCCCTCTTCCGCAGTACATAGAGGAACAAGGGCTCTTTACCTGCTTGGAGGCTACTTGCTCAGCAGAGTGGAAGGAGACCTAGAGCTAAGTGATTGGAGTACCATGTACATGGCCAAGTAATCTGATAGAGCATCTGGAAGAACCATGTGAGGAGTGGGATGGGCAGCAGCCCTTGTTTGTAAACACTGTTCAGCAAGCATGGTCTGGGGTAGAGCAGGGAAATCATCTCCTGATGACCAGATTGCTTGAGTAGATATAGCTGAACATTTGCAAGTGGACAGCTGTAGATCCTTCTGGTACCACTGTAGCTCTTGGGACTTCTTCTGAGGTATCAAGAACATCCCTGAACTCTTGCACCTGAACCAGAGAAGTCACCCTATGTTAGAGTGAGCTCTAGGGGCTGCAGAATCAAAGAACCATGGAAGTTGTCTGAGAGCTCTTATTCTGTCAAACAATTGAAGACAAGCCACTGAAGCCAGCCACAAGCTCTACCCTTCCCCTGGAGACACTCCTCTGCAACTGCAGTGGGAGCAGGGAAGGAGGATACATGTATCTGGTTTCATCTTTTCCTCTCACTGATTCCCATGGCTCAGACATCTCTCCCCCAGCATCTTGTTTCCCTTTAAAAGCACCTAATAAAATAAATCCCCCAAACCTACACTTGTGCAACATTCAAGACCACAAAAAAGTATAGGTGTGTATGTACTTACGTGCATGCACACTAATCCCCATGTTAACAACTGATTTAAATATAAACATTAGAGGTTGGGTGTGTGTACACAAATAAGGTATTGTGTGAATGTATCTGAATTTGTGCACCCACACAGCTGCATCCACACTTTTGATAATCTGGTCTTATAGCACAAGTAGAGTAGGGCAAAATATTTGCCATGTAAAATGTTCTTCAGTGAAATGTATCTACTTTTGAGGTAATCAAATATTTTATATGTTTCTTAAAAACAGCATGGTCAAGGAGATGGATTGAGCATAGGCCTGGGAACCAGAAATTCTTATTCCTACTTATTTTACTGGCTGTCCTAATAAAAATTGATCTTATATCCCAGTATACTGATAGGACGTTGCAATATTTAGTTAATGTATGCCTCACAAGACCTCTCTGAGGTAAGTGGATGTTGCTTCAAGTCCAGTGCTCAGTTCTCCAGACTAAATTGCATTCAGCTCATTTAATTAAAGTAAAAAGTTTGCAAGTGTGAAGACCAGTAAATCCAAGCTGCAAATAATTCTGTTGTTTACTGTTATCAAACTGAGGCCTTGTCTACACTACTGGGGTAAGTTGACCTAAGTTACGCTACTCCAGTTACGTAGCTGGAGTCAACGTAGCTTAGGTTGACTTACTGCGGTGTCTACACCATGCTGCGTCGATGGGAGACGCTCTCCTGTCAACTTACCTTACTCCTCTCGTTACAGTGGAGTTCCGGAGTTGACCGGGGAGCACTCTGTGGACGATTTAGCAGGTCTTCAGTAGACCCGCTAAATCGACCCCCGCTGCATCGATCGCAGCAGTGTCGATCCCCAGTAAGTGTAGACATGCCTTCAGGTTTATTACCTGAACCATAAGAAAGTGCTGGAGGCACAGGTTCTGGAACAATTTTTATAGTGGTGCTGAGAGCCATTGAACCAAACTGTAAACCCTGTATGTGATGGAAACCACTTCAAGCCAGGGGGTGTGGCAGCACCCCTAGTTCCAGCACCTATGTGTGGAGATAAACTCCTCAGGGGTGATTTTCCTCATTGAAATCCCTCACTGCTGCTATTTGGAATCTTTCAAAGAGTTTTCCACTTACATGATCTCTCCCCTATGCTCCTGGATTGAGAATCAGAGGCTTTTGGGACCCTCCAAACTTAAAAATTAGAAAAATAAATGAATAGATTATAACCTCAGCCTAGACCTAGAAAGGGGCTAGTTTCAGAGATGAGATATATTTTTCTTTCTGCTTTCTAAAGGCCAAGTGCTTGGTTCCACTGAAAAGAGGTGGGTTACCAGTTCTCATAGCACTAGTATAAATCACTGAATTTTGTTTGATTTTGCTCCCATTTAAATCAGTAGCAAAACTCCCACTGATTTCAATGAGACCAGGAAGCCTCTTTGTAGGCACTAGGCAAATGGACCAAGAATCTCATTTTCAGATGCCTAGCCCTGACGTCTGAAATGATCAACCCCTGCTAAATGGGATCTTCCTGCAGTTGGTCACACCCAAAACTAGAGATTGATTAGGTCTCCTATTTGGCTAGTTTTCCCAACCAAAGGGATTGATTCTGTAAAGGTGCCAGTGTTAAAGATACTGACAGCAGGCTCTTTTTTCGCTCATTAAATTTGTTTTTAAAGCAGTCATTAAAATGCCAGTGATGGGGGCTGCACTGGCTGCCTTCATCACCTATGATGGCTACAAAGGTTAATGAATCTCACATTCTTCTCTCTGTGCCGTTAAGGAAGCATCCCTTGGGGTGGTATGGAAGCTGACAAATCTCTTGATTTCTTAATCTGTGGCTCTTGATATCTGGAAAATTGCTCACAGCTTTGCTTTGCTTTTAGAGGTACGGGCCAGTCCTATACATCAACACCGGTTTCCCAGGGTACCGCTTCTTCCTCAGGCTACAGTGAAAGTCCAGTTCCTGCTCCAAAACCAAGAGTTGTCACTACTGCTAGCATAAGGCCCTCTGTCTACCAGCCAGGTAAGGTGATTTCAAAAAGGTGAAAGGGTCCATACCAATGTCCAGTAGCATTTTATGCAGAAAATGCAAGGCCTTTTTACACACAAAGGACCAAATTCTGTTGGCCATGTTAGAAATGAGTGAACTTGTTCTACCTAATTTCAAACCCACCCTAATATTGTGACTTCTGAATTATGTTGGGTTTGTATTCTGCTTAGAAGACGCTGTCAGAAGGAAGGGACTTAGGAGAGGAGAAAGAAGGGGGTGAACAAGAAACCAAAGTGATCTAAATTTCCCAATGCGAGGCATCTGAAATGCATCTGCAAACCACAATCTGTGCACCCAATAAGCAACAAGGGAACTTATGTGCACCTGAATATTGATAACAGGGTTTAAGAATGCTAGACCCTCTGTGCACCTATATGTGTTAGTGAAATAAATGAGAGATGGCTTTAAGGTATGACAGTCTATTAAATTGTGCGAGTATATTTGCAAAATAGGTAAGGTCATGAATCGAGCTTCTCAAACTTTCTTCCATGTGTAAGGAATGATGTATTCTTGAAAAGCACTTTGTTTGCAATGCTTTGCTCCACATTCCCTGCAAATCCAATTAGTGAGGGGTATATTTGATTATAAATTTACTTAGAAAATGTGTTAACTGTTGTTTAAATTTCCTTTGTATTAATGTGTTACAAGTGGAGCAAATCGACCGCAAACCTCCAAAACCAACCATGACCAAATATGTGTAACCCAGATTGCACAAATTAAACAATAAGGACATAAAAATCTAAACATACTTACCAATAAAAAATCCTATCCCTAGCCATCCTAGTAACTCATGCTTAATTCAGTTAACAAATAAACATATTGTAGTCTTAGCAAGTGTGCTTCAAGGATGCTTTACATCTTGCAGTTTAAGTAAATAAGAAAAGTCTGCCAAATCTGCCTATAAATCCCAAAACTCCAGTATCCTCATCCATTCTAAAGTTCTGAGAGAGAAGAGAAGGTATCTTAAATTCAGAGGCTAAGAGAGGCAAAAAGCTCTCATGGGAACAGGGCCGGCTCCAGGCACCAGCTAAAGAAGCAGGTGCTTGGGGCGGCCAATACCAAGGGGCGGCACTCTGGCCGCTATTGGGGCGGCACGTCCGGGTCTTCGGCGGCAATTTGGCGGCGGGTCCCTCAGTCCCTCTCAGAGCAAAGGACTGGCCGCCGAATTGCCACCGGGGGGTGGCGCGGCGCGGTCGCGCCGCCGCCGCTTTTTTTTTTTGCGCCGCTTGGGGCGGCAGAAAACCTGGAGCCAGCCCTGCATGGGAAGGTATAGATGTGACATAACCCAGCTAATAGCTGACATATTTTAGGCTGTTTAAAGGAACTTTCATCATTGGTCTCAACATCATTAACAATAAAGCTTTAAACTTCTACTAATTTTGTTTTTAGTTACATATGCCAGTCCATATTCCCTCACTACTGGATAGGAATAATTCCCATTGAAGCCAATGGGAGTTACTGCTGTCCCACAAAGGAGAACAAGGTCCCCCCATAATTTTTTTAAAGGAAAAGTGAATCTATTCCTATAATAGAGATGAGAGCACAGAGAAGAGGATACCTAAAACATCTCTGGGAAATCTGATGATAGACTGGGTGCTCAGTTAGGGTCCTGGGTGACCTAATCCTGCAAACCCTGAGTACTCAGGACTCCCATTAAAGTAAATGAGTTTCATAAGCCATTGCTGGCAGGTTTGAGCCCTAAATTAGGTGTTCAGTTGGGCAGAGGGATGCCTTTATTTTCCATTGACCTGAGCACTTCTTTTGCAATTCTGTCTTTGTGCATCATTGCCCCTAATTGCAGACTTAAAATGCACACTTTGAAAATCAGGCCCTGCATGTGTCTCTGGACACAATGCACTTATTTCAGATCTTCATATTGTCTATGTATATTATTCCATGGATACTACAGGAGCATAGTGTCCCCCAGAGGGCAGGAGGAATTCAGAGCCGACATTCAGAACATTCATGATATGTTAGAGAAAAAAAGAGGAAAATGCAAATTGTGATAACCCTGGCAGAAAGCACCCTCCACTGGTAGGAGCTTGAGAATAATCACAAGGAGATATTTTAACATCTTATGAATCAACCCCCAAAAAGGTTTCAGATGCAAGAGAGTTTATATTTAACATATGTGTTAGAAAATAATAGAGTTTAGACCAAAGGCAATTTATTGTAGTCACTCTACAACATATTGCTGCTACTTAATGTGGTAGCAACTGGAGACTACATTTCTGGATATAAATTGACACTACAGGCAGGAGACCGTCGATCCAGCGGATAATGTAGACAAGCCCTAATTTACAGAGCCACACTCCCATTGTAGCGACTTGGTTCTCTGACTTCATTTTCTACAGCCCACCGCATGCAAGGGTGAGACAGTGGAGACTATTAGCAGGATTTGCAGCACACTGAGGCATTGGGAGATGCCAATGCCTTGAAGAAGATTAGGTGTTTGGAGGGAGTTATTTGTTCATCATGCCCATCTGCCACTTGCAGCCTTTTAGCTGGCCCCACAGTATTCCAAATCTCACCCTTGTCATAAGTTTCTTCTGCAGAAAAAAAAAAAGGAACAAAACAGTGTGCAGCAATATTTCCCCTCCTCAGCTGCAGTGGTTGAGACTCTAGAATAAAGAAACTAGAGATAGGCATTGTGAGGGCAGTCAATAGGATGCCAGGGCATTACGTAATTAGGCAACCCAGGATTGTGAAGTTCACATTGAGACATCTGTCCTCTTTGCTTCTAGTAATTTATATTACTGAAGAGCCAAAAGCCAATACAGATCTTTTTCCTATGTGGAATGAATTTCTGATCTTAGCCCAGTTCTTAGAATCAAGAAATATACGTTGCCAAAACCATCAGCACAATTGGTTCTAATTAGCAGCTATAAATTGAATAGATATCAAACTATTCTTTGTCCTGTAGAAGTGGTTTCACTAGCTCAAAAAAGGATTACATTGGTGGCAATGTGAGGAAGCTTGCACTATCAACTGCCAGTACTAAGGCTGTACCAAGGATAAATAAGAGTTCATTTCCCTGAGTTGTCAATCTGACACCTTTCCAAAGTCTGAGATTCACTTTTAAAATATCTAACTATTGTGTCTGTACATACCATAAGGCATTTTCTAGTTTTTGTAATTTATTTATTCAGATTCCTAGTACTCTAAACAAAATTGTGCCCATCCCAACCTCTGGGCACCTTTGGGAGTCTATTTAATTATGTATATGTTAAGGCTCTGATTCATCAAGGTTCCATAAAAACCTCTCTAACTTCAAGCATGTGACTAATGCCTTTGAAGTCAATGGGACTACTCATGTACTTAAAGTTAGGCATGTGCTTATACACTTTGCTGAATTGGGATCTAAGAGACTATTATCAGCAATTACCCTCAGATCAAAATACCCATCAGTGTTACAGTATATGTAATCTCTCCCTAGAAAACCAAACCCAAGAAGGTTTATACAAGCCTGCCATCAGCATGGTTGTGCAAGATGACCGAGTCTGTTTTTCAGAATGAAAGTATGGGACTAGATCCTCATCTGGCATAAATTGATATTGATTTCAATGGAATTACACCAGTTTACATCAGATGAGGATCTAGCTTATGTGGGCCATTACTAATAAGAGGCTGTACTTCAAACCAGACGGGTGGCCACTAATCCATGCTAATCCCTCAAAGCACTGTTATGATGCTAGCTGATTGCCTTGTTTGATGCCTCTGGGAAAAGCATACTTTGCACATCTCCTGGTGTTGAACAGAAATCATTTTTTCAAATATCATAACCCCTTTTTACAAGAAGTGAGGATTGTTGTTCTCTATGAACGACACTAGGTGGCAGGAAATACCTAGCTCTCTTTCATCTGTGATTTTTTAGACTAGGACAGTGCCTGGATTTTTTAGACTAGTACAGAGCAATCTATAGGCCAATCTTTTATTCCACAAAGCAGTGAGATAATTGAGAACAGTAAAAGATAAAGGAGATCTTTCCTTTTAACTCCTTTGATCAAATAGAATTACTCACATGTGTAAAATTACTCATATGTAAGTGTTTGCAGGATCGAGGCCTAAAGCTGTAAACTCTCCAGGGCAGGAACTGTATCTTCCTGTGTGTAAGTGTGAGGACAGTGTCAAGTGTGAGGACTGCTTCTTTGGAGCAACGATTCTCATTTACCAGATGTTTGTACAGTACCTAGAACAATGGGGTCCTGACGTGTATGAGGCCTCTAGGTGCTATCACAATGTAAATGATTACTACTAATAATAAATTGTGTTTGCTACCAGAAAACTATTATGACAACTAACAATAATGATGCATTGGATCAAAAAACCTCAGGTGGTAATTGCATTTGTTAGTTTCTTTCCAGTGGTATTTTAAATTCAGAACATGCAGAACAAGTGCATAGGTCAGTGCACAGACCAATATAGGGTCTAAGAGAGTAAAGTATCTGAGCCTAAATAAGCGAACCTATGCCCTGCTACTTTGGAAGCTAGTCTTTTTTTTTTTTTTTTTTTTTTCCCCTGAGAAAATTGTTTGTTGAGCCTAACTGCAACCCTGAATGTGAGTAGGAAGGTGAGAATTAGCTAAGTCCTGTGGAGGCAAGGACTCAACTTTTTGTAATAGCAGTTATATGAGTAGTTTCCCTATTTCCATATATCAGAGAAAATAACAAAGCTTATCCTTTCTTTTGTGCTATTGGACAGGCACAGGGTGTTTAAAAGTTGAGTGACTGAATCATTATGAGAGTTGTTTTTTTAACAGGATATGGGTTAGTTGGGTCAGTCTGTTGGCACATCTTGTGAATTTTACATTTTATATGTTCAATCTAGTATTTCTTGTAATGGCACTGGGAGTTGGAGATCTGAAGGCTAGTGAAATAAATAAAAATCAAAGGTGAATTTGTATGTGTAGAGCTACAAAGGTCAGACTAACATTCCAGATGAGCCGGGAAGATGTTTGAAAACTATAAGCTCAATATACTATTCCTTCCTCATCAGAATGGCTGGAATTCCAAGGCTGGTGAAATCATTCCTAGCAGATAGTGATGACACTCTGCTAAAAGTAAAAACAATTATAATAATGCCAACTTGTTTTTATAGGGGAAAATATTTTGCACGGAATCCTGGCTTTCAAGATGAAACGATGAATGACTGAAAAGTTATAATTATCTTGCGAGAACTCAAAGCAAGTTATGGACATTCATGACTGTCATTTTGCACCAGTTCTCCAGCCAGTGTATTTCAGTGATTGTGACATGATTCACCATGTTGCTTTATTTTTTAATGGCAAGTGGATGGGATGGAAAATCCAGAGTGAGAGACCCTTCCTCATTTCAGTTCATTTTACAGAAGCGACCCTGGGAAGAGGTGAACCCAGGTCCTAGAGGTTAAAAGGAGAGCTTTATAACTATTACTGATCACCACCTCTCTACTCCTACACTTAGCCCACTCAGGGTATTTTTAATTGACTGTAGGTCTTGTTTGAGGAAGCAGTTATGTCACAGTTATACACACATGCTGTCTGTTGAGGTAAAGAAAGCTGCTAAAATGCAGGGATCCTAGTACAACTTAAGAGTGATGAAAAAGTGCATGCAGCATCCTTGTCTGCAAAGAGGCAACTGGCTAAATACTCCCAGGTTAAAACACAATGAGTTAGTATCTCTGAGCCTAGAAGTATACTAATCTTGATAATTTAAGCTAGTAT